ACAAAATGTATTTAACAGCTGACTCTTCATCTCTATGAAAATTGACCCAAAATAATTTAAAGAAACATTGAATTCTTCTCTACAGTCTGTTGTAGTGATGCTCTGGTTACATGCAGTTGACATCACTTCCTGTTTCCTCACATGCAAATATTTCAACAACTGTTCATCTCGATGGTGTTGTTATTTTGCTATGTCATCCATGTTCTTTCCAAAGATGCATTCATATTAGTACAAAAATTTGATGTCACAGGCACTTTAAAGGCCTCACCTCCTTTTTCATGCTTGAGTTTAATTAGTCTAATGCAGCAAAATTAAGATTTTACACGGTGAATTACACCAGCTGAACCCAGTGCACCTCTACGTAGTGGTGGGATGTCATCATTTTGTGAACAAAATAATCGATATGCATTATGGGAGATGTAGTTTATGGTTTAAAGCAGCTTATTTTAAGACAACACGTGTTTGAAGTGTTCGCAGGCCACATAAAATGCACATATGGCCCGCAGGCCTCGAGTTTGCCACATATGTAGTTTTACATTCAATGAATATTTCCTGACAGTTTTATTAAAATCGGTGCAGCGGTACATAAAATATTTTTCTAACAGACAGACACAGGCAAAAAGTGTCTGCCTTTCAGCAGCAGGCAATAATAAAACACAGAACCCAAATCTAAGCGCTAAAGCTGCCTTTCTCAAGAATTTTATTTATATTTTTTGTTTCATTTTCGCATCCTGCGTGGAGCCTTTCTTCTGTTTAGAAGATGAACTCATCAGGATCCCACATATCGCCTCCCTGTCTTGTTTTTGCAACGTTTAATGTGTCGTTTCATCATCTTCAAAGAACACCTTGTTCATTAAAGATTTCTATAAAACCATTAAGATTTCTGTCCCACGTGTGACTCAGACTCACAACAAGCGGTGGCTGAAAGGACCCAACTTCACAAAAAGCAGCAGCGGCAGAAACACGACACACAGATCAGACGTTTGGAAACGAGATGATTCACAAAGACGAACAAGAAAACACTTCATTTAGTGTGGGAACAGCGTAACGGATGGAAATTTATATATGTACTTCTTGGTTGCAGCGGATGAGGCAGACGTGGTTTTATAAATCCCTGAGCAGAGTTCACACACACACACACACACACACACACACACACACACACACACACACACACAC